CGGGCAATAGACGATAGACGTATCCCAACGGTTCTAAACTAGTAAATAAGATAAGGCGTGAAAGAATAGAGCGTTATGAATAATTTAATTAAGTGCTGAAGGAGTGGAGTATGAGTAATGGGTTATTGATTGCCAAACAAGTGTAGTCCGGCCATGAGCGGGCGAGGTTCAGAGTCGCAATCCGGCAGTGAGGTCGCTGGTTCGGGAGTGTCTGAGCGTAGGCAGTCGTCGCAATAAGTTCTTTGTGAACCGGTCTTGAAAAGTGATTGACCAGTTAGGACAGACAGAGGGTGAACACACGTCCGTGACCTCAACCTGCCTTTGAAATGTTCTGGTGCGCACGTGCTTAGTGGACAAGAGAGACAGACATGCGACGTACCTCAGAGGCAGACGAGGAGCGCAGTCGTATGGCATCCTATATGGCTTAGAGTACGAGGTCACTACAAACACAATGATATCTAGGTAGGCTTACTGGCACGCCTTTTCTTGGAGCTGATCAAGGGTTTCAGTAAAAATATTCTCCATATCAACAAACGGAAAATATTTAGAAAAAATAGGTCAAGTCGCATAGCATGTGGGATCGATGGTTTTATAAGTTATATTTAATCTCCTGCATCCTAGCCTCCTGGTATGTAGGACAGAAATTGTACGATCGATTGTTAATTCGCCGATATAGGACAAGAGATAGGAAGGAAATAGTTTCAGGTTGAATGGCATGAGGGAGAGAGCTATGCCTTATTTTGAGGGCGATATCCAAAATTTTCAGCAAAATATGGCTTTATTCACGGGGAGCACGGTAGACGGTAAGGTAAAAGGTCATAGAATACTCAAAGTTAAAAGTTGACACGATATCCACATCTTTTATTGAGACAGGTCAGCTTTCAACTTCTCAATTTCTATTTCTTCCCACGTGAGGTACCGTGCTAGGAATGGTAGTATAGAGTGCTGATATGCCGATATACGGCAAGAAATGATGAAAGCTTCGGCGCATAGTACGGAAAGACTACGCAGCCATTAGTTCAGAGTGGAGAGAGTGAGCGACCTCACTAAGAATGCGATCAGCAAATTGCTTGACCGTTTTAAAGTGTCGCTGTATTACAGCGTCAGCTTAAAAAAAACACAGGAAACACCAGCAGTTGCAGAGAGCATTCGGCAGATACGTTTAAAATGACCAAGTTTTTTTAAAAGTAAAACTGGGAAAATAACTGGAGAGTAGTAAAGAATGGGATGAGAGGTCTATTAGACAATCCGTCCAGTTTAGAGACTGACAGATGTAACATACGGTTATATGACATCGACTCAGAAGAGTGAAGCTGAATCACGAAACGACAAATGCATCCGTCTTATAATATATCAGTCCCCGTTTAGGAGGATGAAAGAAGATTGTAGAAGTCCAGTAAAAGATTAAAGGCAGAAAACGGAATCAACAAATCGCCTAAGGCTCATGAAATGAAGTAGGCGACAGTTCGACCGTCGGTACCGACAAGGTCCACCGTGTGCCCCAGGGCATGGCGTGCACAGGGACGGTGAATTAGGCATTAAATAGTTTATATTGATAGTAGACTTGCGCAGCGTCTATTGCGCTCTCTCTTCCACCCCACCCACCTATATGCGGTGTCAAGACCAAGT